CTACTGGCAACAGTGTGGGAAATGGAAAGCTTAGAGAGACTGATTCAGGAGGGTTTGATTTTCTTTTGGCATGTGGGTGGCAAGAGGGTAAGTTAGGAAACATTTAAAAGTTAAGATCAACAGGACCTACTAATGGAATAAGAATGTCTGCTGTTGTTAGCTGCCATAGGCCCCGTGCACAACAGGACCTGGCCACTGTGATCCATAAGGTTTTCGTGGGCTCATTTTCAGAAGTGGATTGCCAGGCCTTTCTTCCTAGTCTGTCTTAGGAGGCTTAACCGAAATCTGTTCAGTATCATAGCAGCATGCAAGCCTCCACTGACAGAGAGCTGATAGCTGCACATGAGACCCACTGGCCAGGAATCAAACCTGGGTCTCTGCATGGAAGGAGAGAATTCTACCACTGAACCACCAATGCCCTCAAAAGAATTTTTAGCTGAGTTAGTTTGGGTGGTGACGTGATCACTGAGGTTGAGAACACTTCAGGGGAATAGATTTAGGCTGGGAGAACATTTAGTTGAGTACTGTGAACAAACTTTTTCAGAAAAGTTCATGCATATATAAATAGTATGTATGTATGTATGTATGTAGGAGCTCTGGTAGCATAGTACCTAAGGCACTTGCTGCTAACCAGAAGGCTGGAGGTTCAAACCCACCAGCCACACCTCAGGAGGAAGGTTGGGCAATCTACATCTGTAGTGATACCGCCTCGAAACCCAAGGAGGGGTCTCTATGAGTTGGGTCCGACTCGATGGCACATAACAACAACATGCATGCATATGTGTATGTGGGAGCTATGGTGGCATAGTGCCTAAGGCATTTGACTGCTAACCAGAAGACTGGCGGTTCAAACCCACCAGCCACTACCTGAAAGGAACGTTGGGCAGTCTACTTCCTTGGTGATACTGCCTTGGAAACCGAAGAAGGGGTCACTATGAGTCAGATTCGACTCGAGGGCAGTGGTTGCGTTATGTGTGTATATACATGTATGTCCAGAATCTTTGTATATTTATTCATTTAATAGACACTTACTGATGACTGTTATATACTGGCCTTATGCTATGTGCCATGGACATAGAGGGGGCCAAAACTCTGTCCTGGAATAAGTTGCAGTTGGGGTTTTAGGGATGGGGGTATTTTCTCTGAAGCGTAGAGAATGTTCTGAGCAAGTACAAGGAAGGAGCAGTGCACTGCTTCTCAAAGTCCTTCGAGGCTGATGTGAGGAAGCAGCACATGGAGCCAACCAAGTTTCTTCCTCTGGTTCCAAAGCCTCTGCCTCACTAGGTTAGATTTCTTCTCCTGTGCAGCATGGGTAATCCTTGAAGCTGCTTGAAAAAGAATGCGGGGCAGGCAGGGGCAGTAGAGAGAGGGATACTAAGAGGCACTAGGTTTTTTGGGCTAAGGGCGTATATCTTTTCTCCATACTGTCAATGAAATTGAATCCCAGCTGCAGCAAAATGGATGTGTTTCAGATTTGGAGTTTGGATTTTTTTTGTCTTTTTTAAAAATTTTATTTGTGTTTTCAGAGGGGGCAGAAGATTGAAAAGTGGGACAGGAAGTACGGTGGGCTGACTCCTCTTTCTCTTCCCCTGTTCTAGCCAAGAAACAGAGGGCCTTAATTACTGTGTCTTGCCTCCCTTTCTCCACTCCGGTCTGACTCTCCTCATCTTCTCCTCATCTCTCTATTTCTTTCTGTGTGTCTCTGTATCTGTCAGCTCTTCCCTATTGGTTTTCTGTTTCCCTCATCACCTTAGTTTCTTTCATCACTCTGTCTTTCTTTGCCTCATTGTCCCCTTTATTTCTTACCTGACCTTCTATCTGACCCTTGATTTCTGTCTGCATGTCCCTTCTTTTCTCATTATTGTCTTTCATTCTAACATGACTTTGATCTATTTTTATTCATCAAGCTGGATTAAAATTCTATGGGCTTCATTAAAAATATATTAGATAAGTCCTTAAAAGATGGAAGCCAGTTTTTATTCTTCCAAGATTCCTGTCAGTTATTGATGGTGTAACCTGACAGAGTTTTAAGGACTTGGACCACTTGTCTAAAGAGAGTACTGGTACCATGTCTGTTTGGGTTACCTAGTGCCACTCTAACAGAAGATACGACAAATGGGATGCTTTAACAAACAGGAATTTATTCTCTTACAGTTTTGGAGGCCAGAAGTCTGAGTTCAAAGTGTCAGGTTCTAGGGCTGGGTGAAAGCCCCTCGACCTGGGGTTTCAGCTCTGCTTCCTACTCCTGTCCCACTGAAGCTGGAGGCTTTTCTTCACTCAGGCAGCTGCTGGCTGCTGAGGCTGACAAGCCCAAGGTTGACAAATAAAATGGCACAGTCCTGATAGTACCAAACCACATGGCAGGCTATTGATTCAAGTCCTGAAAAAGTCCCAAGATCAGCAGGGCAACGTTGCAGGCTGCAACATTGCAGCAGGGCAAAGACTTAGTTAGCTACCTGCGGGGTTCAAGCATGCCGTATGCTGTAGACCTTCCACTAAGTTGCTTCTTATATATACTGGAAGCAGTCCACATCCCTAACACAGCTACTAAGCTGCCCCAATAGATTCCACTGTGGAGTTAATTACCAGTCTCACCATGGGGAATAACTATATCCAGCTGCCCAGCCACTCAACCAGGCCCAGCCAAGTTGACATACCTTAACTACCACAACATCTATTCTGGGATTGAATCAACAGGCAGAGAATTCAGGAGCTTATGATCTTTAAAGTAGATCAAAGTTTGTGCGTCTGGAAGTCAGTTCAGAGGGCAGCAATCCCTGGTAATCTTTGGTCAGAAGTATGCTAAATGGTCTCAGAAAGTCAATAAAGACAAGATATGTAGGAAGTCATACTAGAGAAGGTAACAGCACCAGCAACTGGGACATAAAAGCTCACTTGTTAGGGGCAGGACTGGTGGCAACATGCACTTAGGGAGGGGGCAGCAGATGACCAAAGATCAAGAAAATTGTGGTCATAGGAGGAGCAGAAAATCTAGAATTAGAAGAATGTTGTTAAAATATGTTTCTAAGCATTAATGCAAGATTAATAATTATGAACAAATAAAACATTTAGGGACTTTCTAAAGACATAGCCCAATGTTCTCTTACAGCTACAAAGGTCAATAAATAATGGTTGATCTTTATTGGGAAGCATATTGTCATTGTCGTGACAAGGGCCATTCATCACTAGAAAAGTGTGCATAAATGTAGAAATACAGTAAATAGTATGGAAAGGAGTACCTAATTTTATTAAGAAAGTGCAAGAATTTGCAATGAAGAAATATTAAAAGAGGGACTAATTTGCGGTTGTATTTAAGAACCTAGCCATAAAAGTATGGATAGGGTAAATATTGAATTTTTCCATCAAATCCTAAATTATAAGAAACAATAGATACCTATGGAAACTGACAAAAATGACATTAAGACATACAATGAGAAATATTTTGATGAAACAGCATTAATAATACTTTCTATCTCTATAGGACTTTATGTTCTACAAAGCACTTTCACAGACCAGTGTGGAAACAGTATGAAACTCAAGAGTATTATAAGCTGAAATACAGATAGATTCAACAAAAGATTAAATCAATGGTTAATATAGCTCTCATGTATTATTGTTATTTGCTAAAATTGAAGTAAAATTTACATATAGTGAAATGCACAGATCTTATATGTATAGATTGGTGGGTTTTAATAAAGATATATGCACTTAACTAACTGTTACCCTAATCAAGGCATCGGACATTTCCATAACCTCCAAAAGTTCCCTCTAGCTACCTCCAAATCAGTCCTCACACCTGTTTAAATCTTTAGCCCATTTTTTGTTGACTTGTTTGTCTTTCTGTTATTGCTATATAGAAATTGTTTATATTGTCTGCACCGAGAACTTTGTCACATACGTTAATATTTCCTCTCGGTGTGTGGTTTGCCTTATAGTTTTTCCACAGTGTCTTTTGATGAGCAGAAGAAATGTTAAATTTGTATGACTCTGCCAAACTGTTTTCTAAACTGGCTGTGCCACAATGTATTCCCAACAGTTGTTCCACATCCTTGCCAAAACTTGCTATTGTCAGTCTTTTCAAATTTTAATCATTCTTGGCATAGG